GTTATTTGTCCAGTCCAATTTGAGTATCATCCTGACTTTTTTTTTTAATGATTAAAAATAAGATGATAGCTGACCCATGATGTAGGTTACCTGTGCAAGACTGACTATAATTCATAAATCTCTGAATGTCAGCATGTTTTTCTATGGTAAAGTGTAACTTTACCACCCTGTCCCACATTTCACCTTTTCTCTTCTTTTTTTGGCAGAGATTAAGAACACAAAGGCTTAAGCGTCTGTTTTATGGAGGATATATTACTTCACCGAAAACTGTCCTAATCTCCTCCCAGAAAGTTGCATGTCATTGATCTTTTCCAGAGTTCAAAGTGGCTTTTAAATAAGTTATTGACTTTGGGCTTTCTGTTAAGGTCGGTGACAAGAGAAAAATGCCACAGGTTTTTGCAATCCAATTCCCGCTTTAAAGTCGAAATAATCAAAACAGATAACGCCTCCGCTGAATAGACATCCCCACCACAACATTCGTTGGGCTTCAGGCGTTAGAACACCACAGCCGAACATAACAGCCCATGAATTATGCATTGAAACTAAGTATATTTACTATAATGGGTTGGAATTACAGTGAGCTCTAACGTTTCGCTAAGGACAGAGTGGCTTTCAATAATTTATCTGATAGCAGGATGAATCGAGATAAAGTAGCTGGAGCACCGTGGAGGTGTTTTATGTGGACACGCTTTTACGTATTATCTGACGGCCAACAAACACTGGCCTCCGCGATCCAGAGGCTTTATTCTTTAAATGGAGCTTATCCTCGACTCGTTCAGAATGCATTAGTGATCTAAGCGTCACAGGAAGATGTCTTGAAGGCATCTGTCTCAGTGCCTGCTAAGTGTAATGTCAGCGTTTCCATTTGTTTCCAGAGGTTTCGTCTGATTAAATTATATATCCATGTCACACTCTTTCTTTTACTGAGTCAAAGCAGTATGAAGATTCTGCTGTTGTGAGTCTTGTAAAAGAATATACAAAATAGATCCCATGTGAAATGTTTCATCATAGAGGAAGTAAAAAGTAGAGGGACAGCATCTGCTGATATTTTATATAATAGTCCAACAGTCCATGGACTTCTGTGATGGGATTAGATATTTCTAGTACAAGTTTATTCCATCCATTAGTTAACTTAACAGCCTGGAATTAAATGAGTAATTAAAAATATCAGCAGTGGAATTTCCCACTGATGGATTTATTTAAAATTAATTAAACATTGATATAATCATTAAGCAAATTAAAACAATAGCAAGTTGCCTTCCATTTATTTATTTATTTTTAAAATGTAGGTAAGCATTGCTTAATTTAATTATTCACTTAAACAATCAGCAATAATTAACAAAGAAATAAAATAAGAGTGTTTTTTTTGTTTCTTATAAATATTTTATTTTTATTTATTTAGTTATTATTTTAATTTTTGTTAATATTCTAATTGACAGCATAATAGACTCTGACAGGGGAAAAAAGGGATATTTCTGTATCATTTACTCACTCTCATGTCACGCCAAACCTGTATGCCTTTTCTTTTTCTTTTTTTTTTGTAGTTCACCCATGTCAGTTCCAAAGTCTAAAATTAACAGTTTTATTTAATTTTATTTTGAATGCATATTTGAATTTTCTATTTTTAGTTGTATTTATGCACAGTTGCGTGTTTATTTATTTATTTATCCATTCATTCATTCATAACTTAATTTCTGGTTTTGTTTTATTTTAGTATATTATTCATCCATGCATATGTAATTGCATTTTCAGTTTTTATGAAATAAATACAACTGCACAATTGCATTTTTTATTTATGCATCCCTTATTTTTTCTATTAAACACATGAAGATATTTAAAGAATGTTGGTAACCGAATAGTTTCATATTGACTTGTTTGGTTATCAACAATCTTTAAGTATTTTCTTTAAGTATTTTTCACAGAAGAAAAACATACAAGTTTGGAATGACATGAGAATTAGTAAATAATTGTGGACCATCGCTTTAATCCATGTAGAGCCAATATTTTGCTTAATTATTTAGTTTTGACTTAGTATTGAAATTTATGGTATTAATGGTTTAATTGGGGGGAGACTAGCAGACTGAGACATTGGAAAAGAGGAGCATTCCTATGAGCACCTCAACACAGAAGCTTTTGAAATCAGTGAATCTGGTGTTTAGAGGAATGTACGTTGGGGATGTGTGATTGATTCTGTGTGATACAGCATGCAGCGCTGCCGGCTCTTTGATGTTCAGGTTTTAGCAACACTGCTTTACATGTATGGAGGTGTTATCCTCAGTTAAACTAATCCAGCCACTGTGTTTTAAGGAGGTGAATGAGAGTGCTGCGGATATCTTGGGCAGGCTTGACAGGATGGGGAAAGTCAGATGTGTAAGAGCTGTGTAAGTGTCTTACACTAGGTGAGGAGCTATATTTAGTGTCATTGCTGTGATGCTGTAGCTGTAACCTCTTTAGATATGCTGCTTCAAATGAGAGAATGATACCCAGGAGGCTGAAAACAACATGCACAAAAACGTACACACAGTATGCATACAAAAGAGAGGGAACATGAACCACATTAGAATATTAGCACGAGTGACAGTGATATATCGGCCTGGTCGAGTGTTAGTCATTTAATTATCAACACTGGTCAATTACACTGACTTCCTGGTCAGTGAACAGGTAGTTCACCCATGTCAATTCCAAAGTCTAAAATTAACTATTTGATTTGATTTTGATTTATTTTATTTTATTGGTTTAATTTTATTTATGCACAATTGCATTTTCTGTTTATTTAATTATTTATTTATTTAATGCATTTCTTGTGTTAATTGTGTTATTATTTTATGTATCCATGCATGGACAATTACATTTTCAGTTTTTATATTTTTATGTATGTATGTATGCATGAATAATTACATTTTCTTTAATTGCATTTGAAGCTTTTAGATTTTTTTTTATTTATGCATATTCTTAACTGCAGTTCTTGTTTTAATTTATTATTTTATGTAACCATGCATAATTGCATTGTTTTATTTTACTTTATTTGTTTATGCATAATTAAATGTTTTTTTTGTATTATTATTTTATATATGCATTTCATTGTATAAATTTTTTTTTTAATTGATTTATGCACAAATGCATTTTAAGTTTTAAAGGTGACCTATTATGCCCCTTTTTACAAGATGTAAAATAAGTCTATGTCCCCCCAGAGTGTGCATGTGAAGTTTTAGCTCAAAATATGAGCCAAAACGCGCTATTTTTTGTTTTTGTCCCTTTAAATGAAAATGAGCTGGTGCTCCCGCCTCCCCTTTCAGAAGAGGGTGGAGTTTCTAGAGCTCGCGCACCGGCATCATGCCAGCAATAACGGAACACTTTCTCATGCACTGAAAATGTCAGAAACTGCTAGTAGCGGTGTTCAGCCATATATGTTCGAACCAGTGTCGTGCGGAATTCTGCACCCTGCCAGATTATTTATGAATTACACAGATGGGGAGCACGGCGCTATAAAAATAACAACATAGCTGGTTTCGTGGTGCCATCGCGTGCTAACACGAACTTTATAAGTCCTGAATATGATTATGAGCTAGACAAATTCAAGCGGTCGATTTCACATTGCTTTCATATGCAATTTTTAACTACCACATTCCTATTCACGATCATTCTGGTAGCACGTGAAGGCAGCATCAGTGAAAACAGACAGACAATGGTAGCTTTAGCAACATTAGCCTTACAGAGTGCCAAGAAGCTCTTTCAGAAAGGCAGTTTGGAAAACAAACGCATGATACTTACTTACTCTAGATGGCGTAACGTTAGCTGGATCACGAACAGTTGGCATTGCTCCATCCTTCAGGAGCAACTTTTGTGCAAAACCTGCTTTATACTG